ATTATGACTTCAGAGCTGCTATTAAGTGTTTCACAGTTTAACAGATTATGCGGTATTTAACAATGTAATGAAGCTGAAATAACAATATTGTATCGCTTTTGATTTCATGCAATTTTATTATTGTAATATGTTACGGCACATTATTGTGGGCATTAATTGAATTTAGAAAGAATTTTGTATTACATATTCAATTTAGAAATTAAAATGGTTATGACACCAATATTGATTTAATTGAAAAGCGTTACAGTCATTGCAAAGTCCATTTTCACAAAAAAGAGATTATTATGCCATTGCACCCTTTGCTTATAAAGAATTATTTTTATTTTGTGTTCCTAATATTTAATTATTCCTCAACAATTCAATCGCCAACATTTTCATTGCTTAAACGCTCCGTTTGCCAATGTGTAATTACATTTGTATGTTTCTTCACAAAAAATGCTTGTAGCTCTTATGGGAAGCCATTAAAACTATTATAAACCTTGATTATTTAATATCCGTTAAAATTATTTGCCGTCGTTTTGTTTGGTTCATTTCCTGTTTGCCATCAGCAATAGTAGAATAACAAAATGGTTTTCATAATTCAATCTTTCAACTGTGATTTCTTTAAAATGGTCTCATAAATGTCTGTTGAGTCAAGAAGAAGCGCTTTTGTTTGACTTAAATGTTTAATTGTATCATATATAAAAGATCAAAATAAATTAAGTCTGAAATACAGAATCCAATATACCTTCCGACAATGACAGGCGACCTTTACAATGAAAGCAATTATTTGAAATGAATTGAGGCAAAAAAAGTTTTTGCAATGCACTTTCTCGGAAATGTAGATGAGTAAAAATATGTTAACACTTTTATTGCATATTGATATTATTAGCAATAAGATACCAAATAAGTGCCATGATTTTGTTCTCTGGTTTTGATATATGTCTCACATCCGTTAACAGGAAGGAACGGAGCTGAGTAACATAGAAAATTAATGTTGAATTTATTCCCCGTATGAATAATGTATATGCTAAAGACATATCCATTTCTCGTCTCGATTTTTATTAACTGAATAGTAAAATGTGTTTGAATATTGGGCATGCAAAATGATTATACTTGTCTATAAAGCTTAATACTGTAACACATGTACTGTAGATTTGCTTCATTAAAAAATGGAGTATTATCTAAACTTTTTTGTGTGAAACGATGATGTGTTCATCGTTTATCTATAATGTCTGCAATGTAACATTGTAACTAATTGTTCACCATTCCTAATTCTCCTTAGTTAGTGAATACGGTCTTTGTTTATTCAATGATTTATGCCAGACAAAGTCATGACTGATTTTGATAAATGGAAATAATCCGTTCCGAGGAGGTATGAAAAGAAAATATTTTGAGGCAATTTTCCGAATGTTACCATATATTATACCTTGTTGTTCCATTTACTCAACATATCACTCCTGGTGCGTTTTATGAAATAGTAATATTATTTCATACATATATATTCTGCCTTCAAATTATGACGGCGTTCTAAATCATATCTTTGAAAATTGAAAAGAATTTTTGGTAGAAATTTTGCCTCGTACGTTTACACATGGTTGACATTTCAAAACTTTTAAGCGAAATATAAATTGTATGGCATTGCATCGTTGCATGTCAAACCAAATTAAAAAAAAACAACAAAAAAACATTCAATGATAAAAAAACTAAAACTATTTTGTTAAAGCATTGCTTTTAACTTAAACGAATATGCGAATAACCTTTCATGAAAAAATATACTATTTACTCACTCTATGTCGTGAGTAAAACAATTATTCACTTATCCCATGTTATAATCTTACTAGAAAGAAACCAAAACAACAGAATAGGATTTAGGCATTGTATTTGACAACTTTCAACAAATAAATGCAAGTAGTTTGGATCGTGTTAAAATCTCTTCAGGTATACAACAGTTCCATTGGATCCTGTAGATAGTATCTTGTATAGCTGAATTCGGAAAGCCATATGCATATTCGTCCAACGATAAACCTGAAAAATACTGAAACTATATTAATAATGATAAATGAAAACATAATTTTTTATAACGATACTCTGAAAACCACTAAATAGCATCTTTTCTTAGAAACTGGGAGGGCGGGAAGAGGGAATAACTATAACTCTAAAGAACGTGTTTAAAGCTGTCAAATACTGCCTCGAGTGAGAAACAATAGTAAAACACCGAATATATACCTACACACTGGTACAAAACACGTGAAAACCGTGCAATGTAATAAAATATGCATGAAACAAAATATGTTGTAGACTTATCAAAGCATAAACTAAACTATGGACTGGAATGAAATAACAATGGGAAACGTGAATAATTTTATTTACTCACTCTGTGTCGTGAGTAAAACAATTATTCACTTATCCCATGTTATAATCTTACTAGAAAGAAACCAAAACAACAGAATAGGATTTAGGCATTGTATTTGACAACTTTCAATCGAGCAAAACAAAGAAAGCATTTATATAAAACATTTTAAAGAACTGTATTTATAAATTTAAAACACGATACCATATTAAATAAAAAATAAAATAAAACCTGCGCTATTAGACTTGATTCAGATTAGATTATTAGAAACCAATTTAAAACAAATAAAGTGTGAAAATTATAAATCCAAAACAATAAAAGCAAAACAAAACAATATTCTTTGAAGTTTTACTTAAAATAATAATAATAATAATAATAATAATAATAATAATTATAATATAGTTGAAAATAATACTTATCTATAGAAAACTATGTTGTGTCCAGGAATGATGAACTTTTAATCTTTTAGACGAAAACAAAGCAATTGATATGCCTTTTGGTTTTTGACCGCATTTACGGATTCTGAAAATAAAACAATGAGCTTTCTCAACATCACTAAACAAATGGATGAACTATCTTAGCATCACAAAATAAATCAGTGAGCTATCTCAGCATCACAAAACAAATCGGTGAGCTATCTCAGCATCACAAAACAAATCGGTGAGCTATCTCAGCATCACAAAACAAATCGGTGAGCTATCTCAGCATCACAAAATAAATCGGCGAGCTATCTCAGCATCACAAAACAAATCGGTGAGCTATCTCAGCATCACAAAATTAATCAGTGAGCTATCTCAGCATCACAACAACAAAAAATAAAAAAGTCGGTGAGCTATCTCAGCATCACAAAACAAAACGGTGACCTATCTCAGCATCACAAAACAAATCGGTGACCTATCTCAGCATCACAAAACAAATCGGTGAGCTATCTCAGCATCACAAAATAAATCGGTGAGCTATCTCAGCATCAGAAAACAATTCGGTGAGCTATCTCACCATCACGATAAAATTGGTAAGCTATCTCAGCATTAAATCAACTTTGAAAATAAATACTTATCTGCAAATTTGTGTGCTGGAGAAGATTGCAAGCATTTTGTATTTCATCCATGACGATAAGTCGTTACCAAGAATTGAAATCAAAAGCCCTTTGTAACTTTGCAAACACAATAGATCTTCCCATTCTCATGACAAACGTCAAAACCCCATGTCAAACATCGTATGAAGCTATAAAACAAAACACAAAAAATAAACAACAACGACAAAATATAAGTTGATCACCTGAAAAATTCTAACAAACAATTTTATATTCCACGATTTAAAACTGAAAAGTGAAGCCTTTGCAGCAAAATTAAATTATCTCAATAAACATGTACACTCATTAACTGATGTAGAAATAAACATATTTAATATAAATAAACATAACAGAATATGTATAATAATTAACAATTGAAATAATGATATCAAATGAATAATAAAAATTTAAAAATAATACTTATCTTAAAATAGTATAATTATATCTGTTGTCGTCTGTATGAAGCCTTGTCAAATCACACCAATGATTTACTCATGATAAATCTATATAACACTTACACAAAATATAAGATTATAAACTAGTATTTAATTCCACAATTAAATCAATCATTGACTGAATATAATCACAAGCATATAATCACTTCATATTATAAAAAGTTATTCAACATAAAGCTGCACGAAATCATTAAATGTTAAGATTTAGTGACACAGACAAACGTTGTTTCAAACTGTCTTTAACATATCCATCTTTAGCTGTCTCTGAACGCCAACGTCCATGTTTTTTCCACAGTCTATCATTAGTACCAGAATTAGCACAAATAGTAGCTCCACCTGACCTTAGTGAATGCAAACCGTATTGATGACTATCTAGTCCTATTGAAGTAAGTTTTTGATTAAAAAGTTCCCGTGTTCTCGAGTAAGAAAGTGGAGCATTTTTACGTTTTAATACATACTTGTTAGACTTTTTACACAACACTACAGCTCTAAAAATAAACTGATCATAACATTCTATCAAACCAGCCTCTGTAATATATCTATGTAATAATTGCACCGGGCATGAAAACTTTCCAGTTTTTGCCAAAACTACATAATTTCCTTCTCTATATAAATCTGTTTTAGCATTTTCAATATATAATGAACAATGATCATCTTTGAAATCAATATGACAACGTTTTAAATAAAGACCTTCTGAAATTCTTAGAAAACCAGCAAAACAAATCACAAACAATGTAACAATTCTTAAATCTGCCAATGAACACTTTTCAGAAACAAAACTTTTAATGAGTAATTTCAGCACATCAGGAGTAATAGGCTCTTTTTTCTGTACAGGCCTCGAAATCTTTCTTATACAGCCTTCTAAACATAATTTAAGCCATCTATCTTGACAAGGATTTTCTTTAAAATAAGCAGTTTCATGCGCCCAATTTATAGCATAGAAAATTTGATTTAACTTAGATTTCCCGCATGAATATGTATTCATCTGAATAAGCGAAACTCAATAAAGCGCGATTGTGACAGGCAAAGCTGGTAAAGAAGATAACTTGCATTTATCGCACCAATTACAAAATTTTTCAAAAGCATACATATAATTTTTCACTGTACTATGTTCTCTGCTACCCAAAATAGTGTGTTTTACTTCTGAAACAACGGACATCGGAAGACCAGAACTGTTGCATGTGTCTGTTAAGTCTTTCCATCTACATGAATCAAACAAGCCATATTTCGATAGTCTTACACACAAATCATTCTTGTTTGTTGCCTTCTGGTGCGAGGAGTTGGGTGGCATCAGAATTTGTTGCTGCTGCTGAAGCTGTTTTGTTGCTGGATTGCTGCACCATGAAAGCTCTTCGGTGTGAGGAACAGAAATTGGCATAATGCCCTTCTTGGTCACACTTGAAACAAATGACTTCTCCCGGAACAAAACGTCGTCCTTCCAGGTATCCAAGAGAGGAGCGTCGTCCTTCCAAGTGTGCCTGAACGTAACGTCGTCCTTCCACGTCTCCGTGACCGAAACGACGTCCTTCTGGAAATTCTGTTGTTTCGAAAAGAACTAGCAAAACGGTTATCATTAAAATAAGCATTTTTATCAGCCTTCTTTTTAGCGCGCTCTTCAGCACGACGAATTCTTTTATCATCATCTGAATCAGACGCTACTTCCAGTAACTCGTACTCTTTTATGGTAGACCACCCAAGATCTGAACCGTCAGCAATACGTATCAATTTATTTCTATGAGTTATAGCATCCTTAGCTTCAGCAAGAAAGTCCTTAGCTTTAGACGCCTCTCTGTAGGAAACTGCCTTATCAATATTATCAAGTAAGTCTAAAACAGTGTTATTGAACTCGAACTGTTTCCTGTTCTGATACGACTTGAATGAAATTAAAGAATCCTTTTTTACCTTCTTTGTCGCTGAAGAAACAGTCCACTCAGCATCACGTTTCAAATCACGTTGAAGCGAACTAAATTTGTCATCAAAATAACCCTTCAATTCGGAGACAACTTCTTCCCTTGGAACTGTTGAAAAACTTGCACGTGGTGGCGAATTTTCCCGCGACATAATATTCTAAATAACTATAACTCTAAAGAACGTGTTTAAAGCTGTCAAATACTGCCTCGAGTGAGAAACAATAGTAAAACACCGAATATATACCTACACACTGGTACAAAACACGTGAAAACCGTGCAATGTAATAAAATATGCATGAAACAAAATATGTTGTAGACTTATCAAAGCATAAACTAAACTACGGACTGGAATGAAATAACAATGGGAAACGTGAATAATTTCATTTACCATGTATATTAAAGTATAAAATGTATACCTCAGTTTTGCATATTTCAGAACAGACTTCATAATCTGGAATAGTAATTGTGAAGAATTAGTTGATGAGAGTCAATTTGTACTGAAATTCCTCAGAATTATCATAGTAAATTGACTTTACGGTCATCTCCCTAAAAAATAAATGCTTACTGAGAATGAGGTTGCCATTTGCATACCAAACTGATCGGGCGTTTGACCTGTTCGGTATATTTAGTTTACTTTTTTGCACTGCATCAATGTAACAATGTCAAAATCCTTTTAAAATTTTCTCTAGAATAACAACAAAACGTAACAATCCCGAGGGAATCCGAACGTCGTTAACATTGACTGTAAGCCAAAAAGACGTATTTTACAAGAGAAAAATGACGGTTACCAAGACGTTTTTGTCATTTACCCATGTCTCTGATCATGTTGTTAAAATATTTCATTTGGACAACCTATAAACTATAGAATTCAGTGACTGTTGATCATTATTTATTCGAATACTTGTGTATGTGCATATTTAATATGGCAATAACGTAGACATTCTTTTCAATAGTTGATGGAATATAGACGTTAATAGATGTAATACGAGATTTATTTTCTTTCAATCAAGCAACTGCTTCTTATAGACTATTACTACCACTTGTTAAACAATTATGTGACCAAAATGCAAGTCGGACATCGGACTTGCGCAAATTGATGGCGCAATTACAACGTATTTTTATGCTCGCTTTTGATTTGCTACATGAGACAAGGAATATGTGAAGCTAAATGTAGATTTCAAGTATTTTCCTTACAAAATTAATACAGGTAGCTTCAAAAACAGGTAACAAGTAATATAAAATACTGATATTTTTACCTGTAAGTTGTTTTTTCCGTGACAATGGAAACAGACGAGTAATGATCTTTCAAATATTTTATTAAAATAAGGTATCTATTTTGGCTGATAAAGTCCAAACATGATTTTTAATTAACTGTAATGGTTCATAAAAGAAATATGATCTTGGTGTTATTGATTTTTTGTGTGCAAATTGATCATCTGTTTTGGATTGAAAAGTAAAAGGAGTTATCTTCATAAAAGGGTTATCTGTTAACCATTGCTTGAACTATTTTTTAAGGACAACAGTTCGTACTTAACCCGAAATTCAGTACCGAAATATATATGTCTAAGTGTATTTGTTTTGTAGATTCTTTTACAAGTGCCCATTTAGTAAGTATAGGAACATGAAAACTGTGTTAATTTATTTGGAAAAACTACAATATTTATTTTCATTGATGATGTGGTCTGTAAATTATTACTCAAAACAACATTTGATAAAAATATCCCCCTAGGTAATTAACACGGCGTAAGAAAAAGGTTTTTTCATAATGCTTATGTTGTTCTTATAAATATATGTTCCTTTCCTAGATATCGCCCTATACAGACAACTGTTTCCAGCAATAACATATCTTATCGATGTATATGTATGCCGTATTTATCATATGGGAAATTTGTTTACAAACAAAATATTGTGTGATTTTAAATATAAAAGACAGATTTATTCTAGCGAGGGAGACAAGTTGTTATAACTAGTTTTGATTAAAATCAAGTTGTATATATACGTCAAATGAACAAATAATCTGTTTAAGATTTAGCTCTGAGCTGTATAAGGACTTAAAAAAAATCTCACAATTTGAACATATACTTGTCACTCATTAATATAGATTTTAATGATCTTAGATTAACGTTAAACTTTAATATTTTAATTCAAATGATATTTATGTAACATTCCAATATTTTTTTGGAATGGAAATTTATACAGAAGGTCATAGACAAGTGAATTTCTAATTGTGCATGCTTTGCTAGGTAAGTAATATCTCTAAGACAACTTCATATTGTAAGGTTTATTTCAAGATGATTATTGAAAAAATATTTAAAAAAACCTATGACATGACATGTGCTTTTATCTTTTTTCAAAGCACTAAACCATATATACCTTTTGAAAAACAAACTGTTGTTTTACATAGAATGATAACCTAAAAATTTTTTTATACATGAAATAAAGCTTCTAATGGCTTAGGGCCAATTTTATCTTGTAAGCATTTTACTTCATTTTCAAAGGAATGCTTACAAATTACTGCTTTCGGCTGACCTCTAGAAGCTTATTTAAAAGACATATAAAAACGAAGTAAATTGTTTGCGAAGGGTCACAAAGCAGTTTTCTTGAAAAAGTTATTTCACTTTTATCGCAAAAACACAATCTACGAAAGAAGGTGTCTAGACAATAAACAATAAGGAAGTGATAAAAAAGATATACGTTTTGAAAGTTTCACAATCTGATGTCTGCAACCACTCTTGTCCATTGTTTGAGTCAAGTTAATTTAGCGAAATGATACAAGCGAAAATTCCGTGAAATATTTTCCCTGGAAAAGATGTCAGCATATTAAAGCTGCCCGCCGCAAGACGAGCCCAAATATTTCAAGAAATTCAATCTTCAAAAAAATGTATTAAGAGCTTAACAAAAGTTTAAAGGTTTAATTTTTAATTAATTATTTACATGTAATGTGCGATTAATGACTGATATTGCAGTATCAATCACTATAATTATACTGCGTTACTATCGCAGTAAGAGGTATTTATGTATCTTTTGACCTCTTTTTGTTAATTAACATAGATTACTTCTAACGCAGTAAGAGGTATTTATGTATCTGTTGACCTCCTTTTGGTAATTAACATTTGTGTTCCGAGATTATCGTATCTTACCTCATCATTATCACGTGATTTGACTCAGAACCTTAAGTGTTATTAGTCCTTTACCGTAGAATTAAAGAAAATACGAAAAATCAAACCTTGTATAAAGAAGGTTCTTTTTCTGTGTTGTCTTTTGTATGCAACAGGTCTCAAATTGTTTTAGTATGTCTAAGGAAATAAATACAAAAAGAACACATACTGAGAAGCACTTGATGTATAACAAGTTTCTCTTGAGATTATTTTAAGTAAATGTCAAAGCAATTCTAACGTATGATATTTCAGTATAGCCTTTTGAAAAATAAGACAAACGAATACACAAGAGATTTGGCAGAATCCACACAAATTAACAAAATATGTCAGTTGATCGGGTCAACCTTTTCGATAACTTAAATTTCACACCTTGTTTTAAGTATTTCCATAAAAAGCTAGTACTATTTTTGCAACACTGTAATTAAAATTTACAAAGGAAATTATCTGATGCAACGTCACCAACGAGACATTACATTCTTCAATAAAGCTTATATTAGGAACAGCTTGTAGTAAAATATTTGCCTTATTTACATAATACAATTCCTAGCAAATTCATCATTTTACGTAGTACTACATTTTTGTTAATGATATTTTGTTTTATTTAATGATATATTCTTTTGAACTTATGAAAATATATATTTCTCTAAGAAAACTTGGATTTTTTTACATTTTGACAAGATGGTTTACATTTATTCTAGGGAGCGACTTTGAAAAAGGTTTACAATCAAAAAATAAATAAATGATAATAATAATAATAATTATTAAAACAACAACAACAACATGATTCGTTATTTAAAATCCTTCGGAATATAATTTTAGTAACCAAATCTGCATTGCACTGTCTGTTACCTTATAACAGATTATTATAATATGATAAAACTATCAATTTTATAAAAATTGACGTTGATGGTGCTAGACAAACTTTGTTCAAATACATTGTTAAAAAAGTTATTTTTAGATATGTGCTATCAATACAAATATAACACAGTGATACATACTGACACTACAAGACTAGTAGTTGATTCCAATTATAAGACATTCTGACATGTTGTAGGACTGATTTTATCTGACAGGATGATTATAGCATACTTTTTTTCTAAAACGTGACAACTTAATTGCCACAATTTGTCACACGGAATGTTCTTGGTAATAGACTCGTGATCAGATGTTTTGCTGTTTAAATTATAACTTTAGTGTTATTATCGTTTCTCTTAAAGCTGCATGCCTCCAGATGAGCGGAATTTTTTCAATAAAATCAAACTTAAAAAAAATGTACTTAGCTTTTAGGAAAAGTAAAAATATTCAAGTAA